CTTTAAGAACCAGTATTAAGACTATCTACATTACATTACATTAGAACTGTAACATACATGCTGCCCTGGCGACCCAGAGAGTCATGCACATCCTCTTATGTAAAAGTCATTTAGACCATCTGCGAGAGTTGCCAGACTTCTGACAGTTTCAGCATTGCTGAAAAGTCCAAGTCCCAAGTCTCCTCCAAGATGTAAGGCAAACTCTTAGCTGCAAGCGCCTGTACAAATGAAAAGTTAGACATTTCTGACATTCAGTGGCACAAGGTAAACATTATCATTCCAAAAGTTAGACAAGGGAATACAAAGGAATGAGACCAAAACAAGTCCACAACCCTGCAGCACAAACATCTGAGGCAATCTGTGGCAAGTTGTAAGCTCCAGAGGAGCTTTAGTGGCTCTACTCCTACAGCACTTCTGGTGGTTGTAGCTCCCAATGGCTTCTCAGGCTGGCTTTGTTCCCTCCTTGGAGGTTTCCTCAGACAATCCACATTCCTGGCTTTTCCAGACTTAAGAGGTCTCCATTGCACCTTTGGCTTCACACTCACACCTTATACTCTGCCCTTTCAAGCACACTGCCTGGCCTCCCAGGCCTTCTGAAATTGGGGTGGAAGCCTTCTTAACACCACAGCTCTTGCATTCTACATGTGCCTGAAACCACCACCATGTGGATACTGCCAAGGTCTGCTGCCAGCTAGAGCAGTAGCCAGGCTTTCCTCTGTCTTGGTTGCAGGGGTTGAGCACCTGGATCACTGGACACTCTGAATCCAATTCTGAGAAAAAATTTCTTATGCTGCCACCATTCTGGGACATGGTGCTCTGGGGCTTTCTCCTCAAAGCAAAGTCTTTCACTTTTGCAGTTTGAGGCTGCAAAGGGTGGAGACTTGGTGCTTCTTGTGATGCCCTCAGGTCTTCTTTTATATTCTGTTTCTTCTCAGCAGTTAAGATCTCCTCTGTTCCTGTCTTTGCAGTCCACAGCTTTACTGGAACTCCCTTTCTGGCCAAGTTCACAACATTTTAGATTATCCATCTGTGCTCTTGATTTGCAACATAAGTCTGCCTGAAAGCCTCCAACAATTGCCACATCACAGCCTCTACCTTCAACTGCCTTGAAATTTCTTCCACCAGATTAATTAGTCTGCCACCCTTAGTCTCAGTCTAAGGCAGTCTCCGGACACAAGCAAAATGCAGACAAACTGTCAAGCCATAGCACATAATCATCTGGACTTCCAACAGCCAGTGCAGTCCTTCTTCTCAGCAGAAACCTCCCAAACCTGGTCTTTACTGGCAGGATTTCTGTCAGCCTTCTGGTCTGAGCTCTGACCAGAATCTCCCATACAGAACAGCCTAAGGTGCTCCAGAGCTACTCTTTCAGGCAACATCTTTGATCCTTTCCAAAATCTTCCTACAAGTCATTCCCGGAGGCTCTTGGATCACATGGTCAGGTATAGGCACAGCATTGACCCCATTCCTGGTACCAAATTCTCTCTTAGTTACTTTTCTCTCTTTGCTGGGACAAAATGCCCAACACCCAAAATTAAGGAAGGAAAGGTTTATTTAGCTCACAGTCTGTGGAGGTTTCAGTCCCTAATCAGCTGGCTCCAAGTCAGGGTGGCATGGCATAGGGGCAACAGTTCAAGGCAGCAAAAGACATCAAAAGCAGCAAGATCAGAAAAGGAGGGAAAGGGGCTGGGGATTTAGCTCAGTGGCAAAAGCGCCTGCTTGGCAAGCACAAGGTCGTGAGTTTGGTTCCTGGTACCGGAGAAAAACCAAAAAGCCCCCCCAAAAAAAAAAAAAATTTAAAAAAAAATCAAAAAAGGAGGGAAAAAGCAAGCCTCTTTTCCTCCCTTATATTGTAAGCAGGCTACCCCACCCCCAGGGTAGGTATAGCACTCACACCATCTCCCTGCCCTCCTCTTACACAGGCTGAGGATGTTTACAAAGTAAAGACCCTGACCACCTACTGAGTCACTTAGTTAAACTTCTAAATTTCTCGAGTTGACACAGTGAACATCCTAGAGGGGTAAAGGTATGTCCTTTACACCCTAGGATATAGAAGTGCCTAATTACTTAGGTAAGCTTGTAGATTTCTCTTGACACAATGTGTGAACCATTGCAGGGACTAAACCACTAAGTGACAACTACTAAATAACGTGTATTTTGGTACACTGGACAAAGGGATGATTCTTGTCTTGGGCAGGATGGAGCAAGATGGCATAAGATTCTGTGATCCTGCTAAGAATGGCATGTGATTTAAAACTAACAAATTATTTTTGGAATTTTTCATTTAATATTTTTGGACCATTGTATTAGACACATACTAATAAGTATTATATAGCTCCAGGTAGATAGGTGGGTGGGTGAGTCACAGCTGTGGACTGAGTGAATCGGAAACCAGGTTCACCTCTGTAGACTTTGAATTTAAGACCTAGCATTGTCTCTTTCATGAAGTAGTGCAAATATTTTCCAGACGTGGAGAGTGGTAAGGCTTACCTTGGAGGTCTTGGAGTATGGTTCTTGGGTTAAGAGGTCTGATGTGCATAAAATGAGGAGGCCAGTCACTTGCTCACTAGTTTCTAGGCCTATTGCTAGTCTCACTGACTGTGGTGTCCTTCGTTCTACCACACGCAGTAGGTGTCTTAGATAACTGAGGCCTTATGATACAGGGCAGGAGAAGAATGGTGGCTGTATGTCCACCGTGTTTCCAGCACCTATTGGACAGAGCTGCAGAGCCCCTCACTTCCAGACCCATACTCAGAGGCTCTATCAGGGCAGGCTTTTGTGGACATGCTTCACTAATTGACATTTCTGAGTGGGGCCTCAATGAAAGATACTGAAAAAGTGCCTGGGTGCCCCCAAAGAGTACACACGATCAAGATTAAAAGATAAGTAAATCACATGGAATAGAGTAAAGAAAGCCTCAGCGGATATTTTCTAGGGGGTAAAGCACTAAATAAAAATCCCCCTTGGTTAAGGAAACAAAACCTTGGAAGTTATAAATCTTTGAAGCAAAGGAGAGTTAAATTATTTTTAGGTGCCATTTATAATAGTCACTTAATGATATCTGCACAGATCCACCAGGGAGCCCAGGTTACTCCAGGCACTTAGTCTTGTGATGTTGGGTCTCTAACAAATTCCTATTCCTGGCCTCCTGAGTCACCCTTAGGATAAGTATGCCTAAGAGTATTAATTGAAAGAAAATAAATGAACAAACTTTTTAGTCATCAGGGGTGTGAGTAGAGGAGTAAAATTCTAGGAATCATAACAGGAAGGGAACTAAGCACCTGAGAAGTAATTTGAAGAGACAGCCCACTACCACCTACCCCTGGAAAAGAGTTTATTTTGGGGAGAGGTTAGAAACAGGTGCTCCAGTGTATCTGATTAATCTTATGAAATATAGACAAGAGACTTTGCCATGGCTGAGACTTAGAAACAAGGGGCTTCACTTGTCCATTTTGCAGCAGTTTGCATCACTTTATAGGTCAGGTCTGTGAAGTGAATACCAGAAAGCCAGCACAGGCCATCATGGGGAGTCAAAAAATTCACAAGCGGGAGAAGGGCAAGGATCTAGAAGCTGGGAGAGAACAGGAATTGGGAATCCAAGACAAAGCACTGAGGGCTACACTCCCTAACTTGCACATTTATTCAAGGGTGCAGATGCAAGTTTACTCTTGACTTCATTTATGCCATTGAGCATTACAAGCATAATTAGGAGTCATACTCTGCTTATGTATATTTTTCTACTTTTAAAATTTTCCCTTAGTCATTAAGAGGTAGCATTTCCTTCGGGGGGAAGATAGATTCCTTTCTTTTTTACTGTTTTACTGTTTTGTGCTCCCAAGGTGTTTGGGACTGGCACAGAGTGTATTTCATCAGGTGTGCTCTTGTAGATGCTACGCTGGGACCCAGAGTGCCTGTTGTTCTCGGAGGCATTTGTTCTTGGCCCCAGTGGAAGCAGAAGTAGGTTCGTCTCAGGTTTTGTACATGTGCAGTATTTATAGGTATCTTCTCAACCCTCTTTGCTTCTTGCTGTAATGTTTTAAATATTTGGAAGTTGACTCTTGTAAAGTGTGTGAATGGTTTTTAGTATGTTCACAAAGTTGTGCAACCACCCTACCATTTAATTACAGAACACTTTTTAATCACTAAAAATATCTATATCCATTAGCTGTCACCCTCCAGTTGGTTTAATTCCTGTCTCTTGACAGCCACTAATCTACTTTCTGTCTATGGATTTGTCTGTTCTGGACATTTCATATAAACATAACTATACTACATGTAGTCTTTCATATCTGGCTTCTTTTACTTAGGGAGATGTTTTCAAGGTTTGTCCCTGTGGCATATTAGCCTTTCATTCGTTTTTATTGACAAACTTTTCATTCTATGAAAGACCACACTTTGCTTCATGGTAGTTTGATTTAATGATTCTATGACTTAATGGTGTAAACCTTGTGCATCTGATAGAAACTGTAATGTGATATTTGGTAGGTTAGATGTATGAAGTACATTTTCAACTAATAAAATTTTAGATTGCTTGTGATCATAAAACAAGAGGTTTTGTATGTTCAAGTAACAGACATTTGTGGGATTCCATGTTTCTAGCTACTAGAAATAATGCTGTCATGAACATTTTAGTATAAGGTCTACTAGGTATATATAAATAGGGCGGGGGAGAGTTCCTGGGTTGTATAACTATGTGAAACAGACTAACAGCTAAGTTAAATTGTTATAGGATTCTGTATTTCTACAGAGTTTCTGGTTTGTTTGTTTTTTGTTTGTTTGTTTTTTGGTTATTTTGAGTGCGGAGTATTGAACCCAGGGCCTAGTGTATGTTAGGAAAGTGTTCTACCACTGAGCTACTACACCAGCCCCACCATCCATCTTTGATATTAACCATCCTTGTGGGTGTGGCTTTGATTGTAGTTTTTTTGGTGGGCAATAACCTTGAACATCTTTTCTTGTGTTTATGGGGCATTTTGTCTTCCTCTGCTTTTCACTTACAGGATGTCCTGGTGCTGAGTCTCCACTGGACTCTCAGTTGAGTCCTCTTCCTACTGAGAATCCCCTAATAAACATCAAGGTTGTTGAGGTCCTCACCCTGAACCAGGAGGTGGCTGGTCCCCGGAATGCCCAGATCCAGGCCCTTTACGCTGAAGACAGTGGCCTGAGCACAGACACCCTCAGGGAGCCAGCCCAGCAACTGGAGAAGCATCCAGCAGACCCTGAGATTGCTCGCCAGAGGTTCCGGCAGTTCCAATATGATGAGGCTACAGGTGCCTGGGAGGCCGTGGCCCAGCTTCGTGAGCTGTGCCACCAGTGGCTGCAGCCTGAGGTGCACTCCAAGGAGCAGATCCTGGAGTTGCTGGTGCTGGAGCAGTTCCTGGGTGCACTGCCTGTGAAGTTCCAGGCATGGGTAGAGTCTCGGCACCCTGAGGACTGCCAGGCGGCCATAGCCCTGGTGGAGGATGTGACCTCTATATCCAGGGAAGGCGGTGAGTACAGTAGAATGGTGGGGTGAGAGATTTCTTCTGAGAGCGTGCTAGAGAGGAGGGGAAGGACTATTCCTACTTTACAGACCGAGGGTTCCTGGTCCCGTACGTGTTAGCCAGAGTAACTGAAATCCCACAGTGATGCCCTACAGTGTGTTTTTTAACAAACCTTCCACAGGCTTCTTGCAGAAGCTCATGGATACAGCTCTTTCCTGTAATCCCTTTGGGATCCAGGCTACACATAGCCATCCACATCTTCAAAAGGGGTGTGGATGAAGTAGTGACTAAGGCAGAGCTTGCTGAGCCTGAGGCCCTGCAGGAGAGGTGGAGCTGTGACAAATGAGTATCCCTGTGGCATTGCTGGGTGGGAAAGAGGCCAAGGGTACCGGCAAGACTTACGGAGGCTGACACCTGTGTGAACTAGAACTTGGTCAGGTGAAGAAGTAGGGCAGAAAGGATGTGCCAAGCAGAAATAGCATCAACTATGAGGTCCCAAGATGGATGTGATCATAATACAATCTGTGGTGGGGTAGAAGCCAGATGGGGCTAGCCTAGTAAAGTTCTAGTAGGGTTCTTTTTATTCTTTAAAAATGAGACAGTACTTGCATTGTTGCCCAAGGTGCAGGTGATTCTCCTGGCTTAGCCTCCTGAGTAGCTGAAACTACCACACATGCCAGCATACCAGCTTGTAGGGATTTGCATGTTGCCTTATAGCATTGGACAGTATTATGCTATGACAGTGGGTATCTGTCCCTGAGGTACAGGTGTGAGCAGCCCATTCTGATGTGAGCCTTAGTCTCCTGGCTATAGCATGTAGGTAGAGGATGGGGACATTGGTCACCCCAGAGCCAATGGTGTGGTCACTGTGGGGACCAGTGGTTTTGCAGGGATAAAGGTGGGTGGGGCAAGGGCACTTTGGAATGTTTGCAGATGAGGCTCTGGGACTTGACTCTTCATCAGGCTGAGTTTTAGGAGCATGAGTGCTCTTATGTTGCTCACCTTTATTTTCCACGTGCCCAGGTGCCTACGAGATGTTTCTAGTGAAGACATAGTTGGCTAGTTGACATTTGTGCTTGCAGAGGAAGAAAGAAGCAGGCAGGCAGAAACAGGAGCTGTGCATTTCAGATACACTAACTGTTACGGTTGGCAGAGTCATTGCCTCAAAGCTGCTCATGTTTCCGAACCTAGATCAGTAGAGGATGTTAACTGATGAGGCCGCAGGGACTTCATGGAGTCGTGGAAGGAGATAGAATGACAACAGCTGGGCATGGTGGCACACACCTATCATCCCAGCCCTTGGGCGGCTGAGGCAGGAGGACTGCTGCAAGTTCGGGCCCAGCCTAGGCTAAATAATGAGTTCAAGGCCAGCCTGGTCTGCATACCAAGGGCCTGTCTCAAAAAAAAAAAAAGAAAGAGACAGGAGTAAAGTTGATACAGGGAATGGCCATGAGCCAGGATTTTGGAGCAGCCTGCAGCAGCTGACAAAGCAAGAAATAGATTTTCCCCTTGGACCTCCTGAAGGACTACAGTCCTGCTGACTCCTTCACTTTACCTCAGTGAGGCTCATGCCAGCCCTCTGTTCTAGAACTTCAAGGTGATTTGTGTCATGTGAGCCACTAAATGTGCAACTTGTTACAGCCCCAGTAGGTGACTGAAACAGATGTTAGGGAGACAGTTGTAGAGCTCCTGAGGTCAGTCACCCTGTGTTTAACACCTGAAGGATGAACAGAGTTGTTTAGTTCACAGAGAAAGAAAAGAAGCAGCCTCCAGAGAGCTCAAAAAATACTGCATTTGTGCTCAGTGTTATGGGACTCAGTATGACTGCCATAAAACCTTACACGGAGTGGCTCAAGGAAGAAGGAAATGGGTACGTTCCAAGAGGAAGAGAGCTGGTGGGCCAGCCTGGGTCACATCACGTGCCCCCTTGACAGCAGGTAGAAGTCACGGGACCATGTGGGGACACATGAAGACCACATGTGAAGAAACAGAGTTGGAGGCTGGGCAGGGCGGGGCAGGTGTTTCCTGAGGTGGAAGAGACTGACAGGGACTGCAGTAGCCAAGACCCACCTTCCCTGAGGCATCAGAAGAGATGGAGGGCAGGCGGGGTATCCACCGGACCAGGCCGGGGGCCTGAGGCATGAGGAAGGATGGCTGTCCCTGAGGAAAGGTCAGGGCCCAGGAATATGGGGGTGTGGTCACAAGCTGTGAGAGGCAGTGGCTAGAGGGTTGAGAGTAGGGAAACCCAGGGCATGCTGTCTTTAAGCTGTCGCCACGCTGACCCTGCGTGCGGTGTCTCTTCTAGCACTGCCTGCTCAGGTCCCTGCCCGCTTTCCCAAGGGCACCATTCAGCAGCAGAGGAAAGAGAAAGATGTAGCCATTTTGCCAGTGGAGGTGCCACCTGAGGTGAGTGGGCCCTTACCCTTTGCTCCTCTAGCACAATGTCCCCTGAGACAGTCCCCCACCGCCTCTGGCTTTTCAAGGCCTGCTGTAGGCTGGGCTACTCTGAAGCAAGCTTAGAACAGCACAAGCTTAGAACAGCACTGGCTGTGCCCGCTGAGGCATCCTTGAAGACCAAGACAGGCCACCATACCCTAGAGCAGAGAGAACCCATTACAGGACAAGGGGGCTGACAGAGAAGAAGAGTGACAACCAGCTGGATGTGGGGAATGAGAGCCCTGCTTCTGCAGAAAGAACTTGGGGTTTGTGAGTGAGCCATTAAGTTTGAGATTCCTCTCCCACAGGCTGGGATGTGGATCCAGCAAGACTGGTCTAACTCTAATGGTGTATATGGTGTTGCTTAGTGCATTTTGCATTGTAAGTAGCTTACACTGGCTCAGAGATTTGAGTGAATTCATTGGCTTTTGTGTAATGAGTAATAGGGTCAGGCTTCAGGCCAGGCTGCATCCAGGTGCCCCAGGTAATGGGAAGAATCTGTAACCAGCCCGTCTTGTGGCTCTGCTTTTTCCCATTCCTTTTCAAGTGGGCTCTTCTCCATCTGGGCAAAATGCCTCCCAGATCCAGGCAAAGGGAGTGGAGAGTCCTGGTCAACTGTCCAGAAAGGACTCAGCATGGCACAGCCTGGGTCAGACCGTCCATGAAGCCAGGGGTTTTGTCCACCATGTGGGGCAGGGCAACACCCAGCGGGATGCCGTGGCTAAGCAGGGTGCAGATCTTGTTACTCTCGCGGTTCTGCCTCCCGCCCTGTCGGGCACTGGTTGTGTGAAGGGTCCTAGTGGACTTGTGGGCCCAGAGTTAGTATCACTGAACAAACCCCCAAGGTAGCAGAGTCCCTGGCACAGCACACACAGATGTGACTTTACAGGAGCCAGTGACCTTCCAGGACGTGTCTGTGGACTTCAGCCGGGAGGAGTGGGGCCTGCTGGGCCCAGTGCAGAGGACTGAGTACCACGATGTGATGCTGGAGACCTTCGGGAACCTGGTCTCCGTGGGTAAGACCGCGCTGCCTCCCGGGTGCTGGAGACCTCACGCCTCTTTTGGGACTGGCTATGCACTCGAGGTCTCTTGCTTTATTCAGGGCCTTTAACTGGAACCACAGGCCTATAGCGTAGAAGCGTGGACGGATAGGGAGAATCTGTCCTCCCGTCCTGGGCACAGGAGAATCTAAGGGCACTTCCTGCCCCTGGCCGTCCGTTGGTCACAAAGCCTTCCCCTCCTGACTGCTTCTCAACTTGCGCAGTTGCTCCCTGGTTTGAATGACTGTATGGATCCCATCCTGGCACCATGTCTGCACTGCACACCTTCTGGTTTCTTTCAGGGTGGGAGACTACAGTGGAAAACAGAGAGTTTATTCCTGATTCTGATGTTCCTGCTGAAGAACCCATTTATAACCCAGAAGTGAGTGAATTACCTAGGGAAGGCACCCAGGCCTCTACCTTGGAAGATATCTTGCAATGTGGTGTCACAGAAGTTCTACATGCAACACTTCAAGAAGAGGAGCTTGCTCAGGATAAAGCCATTCCCCAGAAGCACCTCACTGAAAACCCTGAGTCACAGGCAGAACCTGGTCTTGACATAAGCAGAGCTTCACCTCAGAAAATTCCTCTTAGAAAATGTTTGCGCAAAACACTCTCCCAGTGTAAAAATGTGACCCAGAGTTCACACGCAAAAGATCAGAAGGGCTGTGAACTAGGCAAAGCCAGGGACAACAGTGGTTGCATGACCCAGAGTCCACATGGGAAGGTTCAACAAAAGGGCTGTGAGCAGGGCAGAGCTGGGGAGAGCGGTGGTCATGTGACCCACCACTCACAAGTGAAACTCCACCAGCGGGGCTGTGAGCCAGGGAGAGCCAGGGAGAGCCATGGGCAGGTGATACCGCATTCACGTGTGAAAGCTCACCAGAAGGCCCGTAAGCAGATGAAAGCTGGAGAGAGCAGTGCTGGTAAGAAAACTGTCGGCCAGCGGGTTCAGCAGGTCGTGTTTATAAAAATCCACAGCGGGAGCCAAATTTGCCGATGCAGCGCATGTGGGAAGTTGTTCCGAAATCCAAGATACTTTTCAGTACATAAAAAAATCCACACAGGAGAAAAGCCGTATGTCTGTCAGGACTGTGGGAAAGCCTTCGTGCAGAGCTCCTCCCTCACGCAGCACCAAAGGGTGCATAGTGGTGAGAGGCCCTTTAAGTGCCAGGAGTGTGGCAGGACCTTCAATGACCGCTCAGCTGTCACGCAGCACCTGCGCACCCACACAGGAGCCAAGCCCTATGCCTGCCAGGACTGTGGCAAGGCCTTCCGGCAGAGTTCCCACCTCACCCGGCACCAGAGGACACACACTGGAGAGCGGCCCTATGTGTGCTGCAAGTGCGGGAAAGCCTTCACCCAGAGCTCCCACCTCATTGGCCACCAGAACACGCATGGCAGGAGGAAGCACAAGAAGAAGCCCAAGAAGCAGCCACCCCCTGCCTCCTAGCCCCCTGTGGGAGCATCCATCCCAGCACCCCCTGCGATGCCTCTACCTGGGATGATACGTGACAGGGAAGCCGGAGGACATCCTGTGACTGAGCAGAGGACACCCGCACAGTATGCTCAGCACATGATGAGTGAATAGGCAAACTGGGGCCCTGCTAATGAGTACACATATTGGAAAGAAAAGATTTATTTTTTTTTAAGTACTATTAGTGAAATCTGAAAACGCTTATAAATTTAAAAAGTGAGGTACCAAATCTGTGCACTAATATATCTGTAATAAAATAATTTTGTGCAAGCAGAGTCTTAAGAGAATGGATAAATAAACTATATTTTTCTGTTTAGAACTTGTTCCTTGCTTACACAGTGATTTGATGCTTAAAATAAGCAACATTTGAGCATGAGCTTGTAAGACATTTCCAGCACAGCTGTACACAGCTGCAGTACCTAGGCCCAGAATTGCAGGTAAGTCCAGACAGGAGAGTCACTCCCTTGCTGAGGAATCAGCCCAGAGGGCAGGAAGCCCCTGAGCAAGGGGCCTTCTAGAAAGTAAAGCAGTAGGATGCAGGCTGTACTAGGGTGTGTATTTGATCCCTGCTTTTACCACAAATGCACAGAGAGTCTGTCTTCAAGTTGCACAGCCTGTAGCACGGAGAACACTCCATCCAAGAGTTTACCGTTGCTCTTCACAGTTCTGTGTGGCATTTAAAAACATTTTAGGGCTGGGGTGTATCTCAGGAATAGAGCATGCACAAGGCCCTGGGTTGGTTTGTCCCTAGCTTCCCCAAAGTAAAAGTATTCTATAAGTCTGGTGGACACATATCTATAGTCCCAGAACTCTGGGAGGCTGAGGCAGGAGGATCAGTTTGGAGTGTGGCCACCGCAATTTAGCAAGACCCTGTCTCAAAATTTTAAAAATTCCAAAACTAAAGTAGAAATGCATTTAGCAGACATGTGCTGCTGTACATGAGCTTGTGCATCTGAAGCAGGTGTAGTTAGGTCCTCCATGGTGAACATGCTTAACTCTTCTCTGCAAACATGAGCAGGCTTTGGAGACAGGAGTGGTGTAGGTTCGGGAGGTGAGGTGCTAAGAGGACACCAGCAGCCGTAGTGTCAGATACAGGACATAACTGTTACAAGGCAGTCAGTCATTCCAGCAACCTGGATTGAGTGTTAGCATCTTCAAGAACTGGCCCAGTAATGTGTCCCCAGCATTGGAGCGTCCTCAGTTCTACATTCTCCCCTCAGCACTCTGTGAACTAAGGGATGAGACTAAAGTCAGAACTCACTAACTTCTTAGAACTAGGTCCCAAATCGAGGTAGCCTAGGACAGTGGTGGTGAACCTGTGGCTCATGTGTGTTTTTCTACTAAGCCCAAAGATTTAATGTGGAATTCTTTTTTCTAAACTGAACCCTCAGTATTCAGGTTTAATTGCATTATTGGCACTTTGCGATAAGTGGGTTTTGGCTTGCAGTTTGGCACTCAGTGTTTAAAAGGTTCACCATCACTGGCTAGGAGCTAGCAGCATGGAGAAAGGGGAGAACAGGATTAGAAGATGCAAGGCCAGTTGGAGGGACAGTGAGGAATATGGTTGCATAGATCTATGGGACCAGCAGCTGCAAATCTACCAGGAGGAAACTACAGACATACTTTACTATCTCTCGGATTTGGTGGAGGAGAAATTCAGAGGCAAACATAGGAACAGTTGTCTGCTCCATGATTTCTGAGGCCAAATGGTCCTTCCCAGGGAGCCTGCTGATGGACACATGAAACCTGGACCATAGGTGCCTTCATCTGCTGAACATTACATGTCTAAAAAGGTACCGCCAGGTTTACAGCCCTGTCTGATCCACGTCTAGCCTGTCTGCTCACATACGCAGCCTCTGCTTGTCTTCATCATCCACTCTTCATGTACAGAATCTGCAGGTCAGACCTGAAGACCTTCCTGTGCAGAGGCGGGCACTGTGCTGTCCTCCACTGGATAGCCTTTCATCTCCCTGTAAGAGTCACTCCCACAGAATGTGGGCATGATGCTGGTTCAGGAAAGAGTGTGACCTGGGGGCTACTGGGTGACTTAGCAGGCTGAGTCACCTTAGCCTGTGGCCAGCAGCTGGTCAGTGGCCCTGGCAAGAAGGGTCTGCGCCCTTAGGGGTCCCAGCCATATGAGGCCAGACTAACCCTAGGGATCCCCTGTCCTAAGCCCGGCAGTTGACAAACTACTTCTAGTGTTCTGGGGCTGGCAGTTCCTGTGCGTAGAGGCTTTCCAGCTAAAATTGGGTTCTTTTTGCTCTTTGGACTAAACTAGGGAGAAAGAGCTGAGGTCCCTGGGAGAGAGAAACTAAGGCAAAAGTGGGGCCCAAGACATGGTGAGGTTGGGGAGCTGCCACCGAGGGCACTTCCCATGACCTGTGTGCCAAATGTCCCACAATGTCCCACACCCGCTGTGGCTGGGGGGACCAGGCCGGGGACAGCTGCCAAAGAAGAGTTGTGTTTCTCAGCCATTAGATGGCTAGTGGAGGATGCTCAGGTGTCTAGAGTTGCTTAAACCTGCGTCAGACCTTACACAAAAGTAATTACTGCTAGGCTGATGAAGTCCATGTTTTAAAAGAAGTTCAAGGTTTAAGATCCTATATAAATATATGGATTACAGTACTGTTAAAAAGTAAGGAAACACGTACTCATTTATAAAATAATGGATACACATAATCTACATTAAAATGAGAACTTGTGTGCCAAAAAACATAAGGAAAAGAATATAATGGGATGAGAAAAATATTTGTGATACAAGTGGTATACAAGTTTTTACACTGAAAAAAGCTGTTAGAGAAAAGAAACTAAATGTTATAAAGGTAAACTGTTAGAACTGTAACAGACTTCTCAACACAAACCTTAAAAGCCAGGAGAGCTTGAAAACAACTTCCAACCCAGAATTACATATTCTTTCATTACAATCTTTCAAAATTGACAGAGAATTATAGTCTTTCCATGACAAAGAGTACCTTAAAAGTTAAAAAGCACCAAACCAGATCCCCAAAAATTCTCAAGAATATCCTAGAAAGAGAGAAGCCAGCAATGCCAAAAATTTTAATAACTATCAATGTGAATGGTCTCTTCCCCATCATAAGACAGATTGGCAGATTGGATTCAAAAACAGAACCCAACAGTGTGCTGTATACAAGAAACATTTAATACAAAACAATTCATGTGAATAACCAAAAGTGAACCAAAAACATATAAAACCCTTGAATAACCCAATAATAGGCAATGAAAATTAAGGTAGTAATTTTTAAAAATTAACAATTAAGAAAAGTCTGGGACCCAGTGGAGTCACCACTGAATTCTACAAGCACATCCAGGGAGATCTAACACCAGTAAGTGGACCCTCGAGTTATGACCAGCCTGATGTAGAAACAACTTGCATTATGATTGGAATTTTAGTTTTAATTTTACAATCAAAGTCTTGAGTTATGACCCGAATGCTAGCCCCTTGTGCTGCCAGGTGGTCTCACATCCAGATTTAACCCTTAAAAGAGTTCTGGAAGGAACATTCAAACATCCTTTCCTTTCAGGGTTAATTAAGAAATCTTGGGCCAGTGTCTCTCTAAGGACACCGAGATCTGCCTGTATATAGGAGAGAGACTTTGAAGGCTGTGTAGAGGAGCCTGAGCCTTCAAGTTGCAACTTGAGTTAAAACGAGCACTCAGAAATGAATTGAGCTCATAGGTCAAGGGTCCACTGTATTCCTTAAGCTTTATGATGAAATTAAAATGGAAGGGGCTCTATCAAACTCACTCCTGGAAGCTAGCATTACATTGATAACAAAACAGACAAGGGGTCAAATAAAAAGAAAACTAAGCCAAGCTCATTAATCATACGTGGAAATATCCTCTCAAGGAGATACTAGCAAACAATGCAACAAACCTTGAAAAAGATCACACATTATGACCAAATATGCTTTATCCTAGGGATGCAGGGATGGTTTGACATACGCAAATCAATATGTTAATTACATGAATAGAAGCAGGGACAAAAACTCATCATCAATATACTCAGAAAAGGCCTTTGACAAAATCAAACTATCCATTTATGACAAAAACCCTAAAGAAAATAGCTATAGAAGTACCTTAAAAGTCATTTTGCAATACCTACTGGTAATTATTCCTGAACATGGGCAGTCATTTGACCTACAGAATGAAGGCAATAGTTACAGATTTCTAAGATTACTTACGACTGCATTGCTTATGTTGTATATGTTTAGAGGTGATGGAAAGTGTGAGAGATGGAGGAGAGTAAATGGGGAAGGGAAAAATATCCTGGACCAAAATAAAAGGCTGTCTGCTGTATACTGTTCATGAATGTGACTGGTTAATTGTGATTGTCAACATGACTGGATTGAGATACCCACCAAATTAGTAAGACACATTCTAGGTTGTGTCTGGGTGGAGCAATGGAGGCATGACTTTCAATTCTGTATCTAATTCTTAGCCCTTTCTTCTGTGGAGCTCTTCCCCCATGCTCTGCTTCCTGACTGCCCCGAAGCAAGCAGCTTTGTTCTGCCATGGACATCTGCCATGCTTCTGCCTTGGAGCCAGCTGAACATGGATGGAAGCCTCTGTAACCATGAGCCCAGTAATTCGTTCCTTTAAATTTTGAGTGTCCAGTACTCTCAACATTGGGAAAGCTGAGTAATACAATGGGAAATATGTATATAGACTTTATGTATGTTTACCTAAAGTTTTCTAAATATGTTAAAATTTCCTGGGGTAGGAACTATATAAAGTTACTCATGTGGAAACAGTGGATTGATTTTAAATGGGATTCCCTGTTACATTTTCTCTTATTTGCTGAGTTCCAGATTTATAGTATACAACATTTAGATAAACCTGACCTTCAAAATGTTTGAAAAATGAGTCCTTTTCAAGTCGTCAGGCAAGCTATGGAAGTTAAAAAATAAGTGTATACAGCTGTCTGTCAGACCTTTCCCCTTAGTCAACTAAAGAGAAATAGAAGAAAAGTTCTACAAATATAATGCTTATTCTTTTAGTCATGATATATCCTTTAATAAGCAGAAGAAAAAAATTTTGAGTATAAAAATCTGAGAGCTTTTAATACATATATTGCCCTAATGAATACCAGGCAAGACCCATTGAAAGCAATCCTTGTGATTGTAATAAATGAGAGAAAAAACCTCCTTTAAAAGCTTTGGTTTTCTCACAAAGGAAGAGCTTATGTTGGAAAGAACCCCTATGGATGTGGTAAGTCCTTTAGCTGGAGCTCCAACTTGGTTTTACATAACAGAGCTCATGCTGGAAAGAAGCTCTCAGAATGTAATGATCTATATGG